TCAGGGGATATCTCGGTAGCATAAGGCTCCTGTCTCACCTTGAGCAATTTGGGATCAGGAAGTAATAATAAAGGATTTTCTCAAGACCTTGGCTTCTTTTGCTGCCACTGCTGGTGTGGCCCTGACTTCTTCACTGCCTCGCAACAGGCAGCCATTTTATTCTCACGCCAACATCGGTGGCTTTCCTTTCTCTGATGGGGACGGGCAGCAAAAGCATCCGTTCATCAGGTAACATGATTAAAATTCTCATCAATTTGACTGAGGTTTTCAGCTGTCTTGCCATGGAACGAGAAAGGACATTGGAGTTCTGTGACTGGAATTCCCAGTGTCTCTGCCTGGAAAACAACAAGGGAAGAACGCAGAGTATCTTGCATTCTTTACAACATCCACCCTCCACACTTCTGACTAGATTAAAAGGACTGAGAGACCTCCATTTTTACTCATTTCTGATCAAGAGAGCTTTGATTCTCAAAAGCTTATATCCCATCTCTAAGGTGCTACTGGACTCAAGTCTAACCAGAGAAAGAAGAAGGGGTGGTGGGACCATGGCACTGGGAAAAGCTTGGCTCTTCCCTCACCACGTGTGATTTCCTAGTGTGAAAATGCTCCCTTCTGGGCTGTTTTTCATCCCGGTAGGAAGAAAAATAGTATGGGCACAATACAGACCTTTCAAGAATGATCAAAGTGTGCAGTTTTCATCAAAGTGTGCAGTTTTCTCCCTTTTTTGTATTTGTAATATGGTCTGTGAGCAGTAATCTGATGGCCACTATTTTTTGCTAGGCTTACAAAGTACTCCAGTTTTCAGGACATGCGTTTTCACCATTCCCATGCCTACTGCCACCCACTTCCTTTCAGCTCCTTCACACATTTTCACATATTTGATATATAAAATTGTTGTCCAGTATAATAAGGTCAATATATATATTTAAAAATGTCTCACTTAATTAACATATTTGGTAAACTATGGGAAAAGTACAGAGGGGGGCAACTGAGATGATTAGGTGGTTGAAGCACCTTCCCTACAGGGACCGGCTGAAGAGTCTGGGACTTTCCAGTTTACAAAAGAGATGACTAAGGGGGGAGACACAATAGAGGTTTATAAAATGGTGCATGGGGTGGAGAGAGTTGGCAAAGAGATATTTTTTTCTCCCTCTCCCAAAATGCCAGAACTCGGGGACATCCAAAGAAGCTGATGGGCAGTAGATTCGGGACAGTCAAAAGGAAATACTACTTGACACAGAGAGTGATTAAAATATGGAATTCACCACCAGAGGTGGTGTAGTGATGGCCACAGGAATGTCTGTCAATGACTATTAGCCATGGTGACTGAGAGGAACCTCCACATTCAGAGGCACTAACCGTCTGAATCTCAGAGCCAGGATGCAACATCGGGGAAGGCCTCGGCCTCTATGCCCTGTTGTTGGCCCTCCAGAGGAATTGGTTGCCCACTGTATGAGACAGGATGCTGGACTAGTTTTTGTAGCAGGAACTCCTTTGCATATTAGGCAACATACCCCTAATGTATCCAATCCTCCAAGAGGAGGAGGAGGAGGAGGAGGAGGAGGAGATTTGATTTATACCCCGCCCTTCAAAACTCAAAGGTGTCTCAGAGCGGCTTACAAACTCCTTTCCCTTCCCCTCCCCACAACAGACACCCTGTGAGGTAGGTGGGGCTGAGAGAACTCTTGACAGAAACTGCTCTTTTTCAAGAACAGCTGTGTCAGAGTTATGGCTTGCCCAAGGTCATCCAGCCAGGTGCAAGTGGAGGAGTGGGGAATCAAACCCGGTTCTCCCAGATTAGAGTCCGCGCACTTAACCACTACACCAAACAGTAGTCAATGTAAGAATAGCTCTGCAAGCTCTTGGAGGATTGGCTACATTAGGGGTGTGTCGCCTAATATGCAAAGGAGTTCCTGCTACAAAAATAGCCCTCTTATGTTCTCACTTAACGTATTTGATAAACTATAGTAAAGGTAAAGGTTTCCCTTCCTCGAAAGCCAGTTGAATCCGACTCTAGGGTTGCGGTGCTCATCTCCGTTTCCAAGCCAAAGAGCCAGCGCTGTCCGAAGACATTTCCGTGGTCAGGTGGCCGGCATGACTAAATGCCAAGGCGCATGGAACACTGTTACCTTTCCCACCAAAGTGGTATTATTTATCTACTTGCAGTGTCTTGCTTTCGAACTGCTAGGTTGGCAGGAGCTGCAACCAGAGACGGTAACTCACTCCATCATGCGGCACTACGGGTATACATACTGCTGATAAAACATTTCTAGGACTATTGTAATATTCCCTCTGTGTGCACACGTGTGCCTTATGTGCTTTGTCCTGTTCAACTGAACTGAATAACCCTGGTGTGTGTTTGTGCATGCAAGCATGTCCAGGTTGATGCAATGGACATGTCATTGGCTACCTCTTGTTATTTTGAGCGCTCTTCAAAATGAAATCATTGGTTCTGTTAATGTGCTGTTGTTGATTTGCCACCATAAAAAGAGACATTTGGCATACCCCCTCAGAATACATGTTATGTAGATGCTGCTCAAAATTGTTGGTAGATGGCTACTGTCTAACATACACGTCAGGTACATAATGCTTCAAAACCAAATAAATTTATTTATGACTTCTCAGAGGAAACCTGCTGAAAATACACTTCGCTTCACAGATAAAACAGATCCAAAATATACAGAACACATATATTAAGTTTAATTATATATACCCAATGGCTGTTTATCCCCATGCACACTTGCTGAAGGGTTAAATCTCTATTGCTGAGAAATTCAGCAGGAGCCCTAATTCCCCCCCTCCCCCATTTTCACTTTCCCCAGTGAGTGACCAAGAGGGCTGTTCTATATTTGCATGTGCGTATCCCCTCCCCATTTTAAAAATCCCTTTCCTCCCCACCTTCCTCCCTGAGGTTTGGGGGTCAACTGCACTATTGATGAAGGAAGTGGTGTGGGAAAAGCAAGAGTTATCCCCCTTCCCCAGTGCCAGAGATCTGATCCAGATCAGCCAGAAGACAAGTGTAGAGTCATGAACCATGGATCTCCAACATCACGTCACATGATCACTTCCCCATGATCACAAAACTGGTCCCCGGCACTCCCATAGGTTATTCTCCCTCACAACACCAAAAGAATATGATTTTATGCCCAGTGTGAGACCAATAAAGTTACCCATATGTCTAAATGAAGAGAAAATGGATTTTCACAAAAGCCACACCTTTCGCCCACAGTGATTTGGGAAGACATCTGAATGGCTTTCCTACTGGTGCAAGATAAAGAGCGAGGTGCCTTTCGACCCTCCCCCACCATCAGAGTTGAGGAATTTGCAACACGTGCGGACAAGGAGGTGTGCGGAACTGAACTGCTGGGGGGGATCAGGAGGGTTATCCCTTCTCTTTCTGCCAGCAGCTGGTCGGATCCAGCCCTTTGTTGTGGTCTCCAACTCTTACCTGACTAATCTCTCATTAAGGCTGACATGGAAAGATCAAAACTTTGGATCTTATCAGTGATCGTTTAAACGGAATAGTTCATGAACGTGAGAGACGGGGCTTTAATATTCATGAAGGTCAGGGACAGGGGAGCTGCCCAGCAGAGGAAGTGGAGTCGACAGCACAGCGATGAAGGGGGTGAGCTTGAGTCTGGACATCTCAGCTTGGAATCTCCCCTTGGCCATGACCTCGCTGGGACACCTGAGCTGTTATTCTGGAACCCATGAGTGTTATTTGAGCTCTTAGAAGAAGCAGCCATCTCAAAAGTCCCAAAGAAGATTATATTTTTGCTAGCCGATGCCAATGCCGATGTATCCAATAGAATGGCTTTATTTGCCTTGGCTGCAAGGAAAATACAGGCCAACGCTGTTCCTAGGGGAACTAGTTAATACTGGGTATTTTAGTGGGTATGCTGTGAATTAACTAACTGTTTATAACCGCAGTTTTATGGATTTATATAGGTTTTAGACTGTATTGTATCTTATACAATTTTCTATGTTTTATTGCATTCTTCTCTGTTTGTGGTTTGTAATGGCCTATGGCTAAATACAATAAAAACCTTCTACTTCTAGTAATAATTCTGTCCCTTCATTACGGTGCAGATTACATAAATACTCGCCTTGTGTCATTTTGTGCATTCTTTAAATTTAATCTAGACTGTAGTCATTACAGGCACTAGTGTTGTTAAGAGACATTCTCTTAGTTCCTGTTAACCCAATTTTCCGCTGAATTCCAACCATCCATTTCCTTCCCTCTTCTTTAGGAATGTAGCGGCAATTCCATAGTGGGGGAAAAAGAAGTTTGAAGAGAGGAAGGACAGGAAGGGATATCCAGTAATATTTCACTTTGTAGATGCTCAGAGGCAAGGCAGTGTCTTCCCAAACCTTCCTAACCTCCTGCTAGAGAACCATCCCGTGGCGTGTCACATAGTATAACTGCAAGATTTGACTTGATTTAATTTGATTAAATTTCTACCCTGCTCTGCCGGCCAAGGCCGGCTTGTGTACAAGGCTGAAGTTACAAAAGGGAACATTGATTTTGCTTCAAAGTTAAATCAGAAAAGTAATGAGAGATCCACATTTTAAAGAAGAATAAGAGGAATGAGTGGTTATATCTTTAAAAAGTATATTTCAGAAAAATCTCCCTCCCCGTAACAACACTAATAGATACAAGCATCCCCCTTGATATAGATGCCGGCTAGCCCTTGACTTTTCCAGCAACACTTTCCATCCACTGTGAATGAAAAGTCTCCCATTAATCATGAATCAGTACATTGCAATGACTCAAGAATTAGTATTTTCCTACAGAAGTATAGCATGGTATCAGAAGACCATTGCTTCCCCCAAAGCATCAGTAGTCCCGACATTGTGAGATACATAAATAGCTCATTTCTCCCCAAGAGAAAGCTACCTTCAGTCTGCCTTGCTTCAGTGCAGCTGAGAAACCAAAATCTATTATATGTGTACAAGAATCCTGTCATCTTGGCAAATGGTCTTATGATCACAACGCTTACCTTGCCCACATATTGAGTATCTGGACCAGTGTACTCCTCCAGTAAAAAAAACTGATTCCACATCCAGCCCCGCTTGGTTCGATGCAGTGCTTTTCCGTGATCTTTGGGCGTCCCCGTTACCCGCTCCACTTGCAAATACATGTTAGTCCTCTTCGGGGATGATGATGCGTGAACCTCATGAAGCATGGAAGTCCAAATGAGAAAGGACAAGCAGTAGCAAGTTCTCATCGTTGGCAACTTTGGCATGATGTCTGCTAGGCTCGATGTGTCTCTTGTTTTAGCTGGAGGAATCCTGTACCAATAATGCTATATTCCACTTACAAATGATCTGTGAATAGACGGAAAGAGTTTTGGTGAATTGTAAGGACTTCAAAAGCAAACAAACACCCAAGGTTGAATCCTTGCTAAAACCTTTGTGCTCGGAGGCATGAGTTCCCTTCCTCCCTCCTACTTCAGCCTGCAATGCCCGGGGATCCCTGTGGAGCTTGATCCTGGGCAGGGCTTTTTTGTAGAAAAAGCCCAGCAGGAACTCATTAGCATAATAGGCCACACCCAGCAGCAGGAACTCATTAGCATAATAGGCCACACCCAGCAGCAGAAATTCATTAGCATATTAGGCCACACCCCATGCCTTCCCTTGGCTTGCCCAGGTGCCCATAGCTGCAGGGAACCCGGGCAAGCCGGCCCTTAGACAGGCCAGGGAAGGGACGGGGAGACATTTAAATGCCTCCCAAATCCTTCCAGGCCCCCCCCTGGCCCATCTGCCTCGGAGTCACCGGGGGGGGTCACTCTCCAGGCCTTCCCTCTGTAGCCAGGCACACAGAGGTTTTGGCTGTAGTGGGCGTGGCCAACTCTGAAGCCAGCCGGAACTCCATTCCTGTGCGTTCTTGCCCCAAAATAGCCCTGATACTGGGGTTTGTGACCACTGCTTCAAGCAGGGTTTCTAAGAGGGGAGTTGAGCTGGGGAGTTCAGCAAGGGGGTCAAGAGGCAGCAGAAGAGAATCCCTCTAGTCCTAACTTCCTGTGTGCTGCTGTATCCTTCCTGCCACGGGAAGCCACACAGGTCCCAGTAGACACCCTATTGCACTCTAAAGGACCTTAAAAAAACTAAAAGAGTTATGAAGGTAGAAAGCCGGGGGGCGGGGGGAATAGCCAGTGTTTTGCAGAGAGTGCTAGCGGGCATAGATCATGTGTGTGTGTGAAGCATGGAGCTCTTGGCTCTCAGGGAGGAGGTTTGTTCCTTTGAGGTGAGGTCGCTGACCTGGAAATGCTGAGATAAAGACAGAGGTTTGAGGGATGAGACCTTCATGGACTTGCCAGAGGAGTTCCACTCCTGTGCTGACAGTTCTTACGCTGTTGTGGAGAGTGGGAGTCTTGAGGTTGGAGGGCATCAGTCTGAGGAGGGATGGGACCCCTTTCTTGGGTGACTGACCGATATCCTCTCGTACCCCTCTGGGGTTGGGGGGAGGTGTGCTTTCGGCAGTGGGTGATTTGATTATTAGGAATAGAGAGAGAGGGAACCGTGACCGACATTTTGACTGACCGGTGAACTTGCATGTCTGGTGTGAAGGTTGGGGACATCACGCACTGTCGAGATAGATTGATAGTGCTGGGGAGGAGTCAGAAGCTGTGGTGCACGTTGGCACCAGTGACATTAGGAAATGTAATCATGTGGCCCTAGGGTTGCCAGGTCTCACCTTTTGTCTTGTAAGGGGCTCCTGGCTCCTCCCTGGGAGTCTTCTGCCTTGTGCGCAAAGCCATAGAGTCTCCCACACACACTGCTAGAGCACTGCCACATGACATCCCCAGCGTGATGATGTATCATAGGCGTAATCTTCATGGGGGCGGTGGGGCGTCAGCCCCCGCCAACATTTTCAGGAAGGTGCTCAGCCTCCCCCGGGAGCCACCCTTGCTCCTAGCAATGCCTCTGGCCCAGCCCCAGCCCCCTCCCCCGGGAAATTGGAAAGTCTACACCCTTGGGTGACATCATCACATTGGTAGCATTCCCACGGGATGCAGCTGTTTAAGGGTGGGACTTTCCCACCAAAATCAGGGGATCTCCTGGCCCCACTGGAGGGATAATAATAACAATTGATTGGCACAGTAATGAGATAATACAGAGAAGAAGAAAAACTGTGAAAAAGTGACACTTAATATATGTCTTTAAAGAATCATAGAAAAGTGAACAAAAGTAATATACATAACTATATAAAACTATATTGACGGTGATCTCCGGAATGTCTTGCCGTTTCGAAGGAAGATCTTCTTCTGAACAAAGATGTGGGACAAAAACTGCATTACAATCATCTTAGCCCATGGCAGGTTCTACTGTACATTACAGCTGTTATGATTATTGAAAATCTTCTTTGATAATTGTGAGACGTCACCAGAGGATAGGAACTAGTTGAGAGACAGTTTTTGTCCCACATCTTTGTCGCGCCGTACCGGAAATGGCAGAAATGCCTCCTCGTTGTTGTTTTTTTGTCTTTTAAAGTAAAACTTGTAAAGCCGGTAGAGCAGTACTTACTAATTTGAGCATTGTTTCTTACAATCACAAGGTCACTTAAAAAGGATACTTGAAAGCTGCCCTGTTTTAATGTTGATGACTTGCATTCTTTTGGTACATCAACACCATTATGTGGAAATTATAATGTCCAAAGAACTCATGACTCAGAAGCTTTACAAAACAGTTGTTAGTGGACTGGCTTCCTACAGAGAAGCACTGTTGAGCCGTGAAGGTTTCAAGACTCTAGAGCTTATTTTTGAGTAACTGAGCAGCATCGACTGAATCTGCTGCGGATTTGTGGAGTTCATGTTCAGCTGTGCATCCAGTTCAGCAGCAAGTCAGATGGTAAATTTTAAAATGAGCGTTGTGGATATTCTATCTATCTAGTACTGTTCATATCCCGCTTGCGGGATGGGCGGGATACAAATATAATAAATAAAATAAATAAATAAATAAATAAATAAAATAAGATAATGCCTTACTTAGTCTTATTCTTCTGTTGTTTAATTATTACCCCCAGGGGTCATTTCCTGTGGGAGGGCACAGGAGCGGAGCTCTGGCGGTAAGGAGCCCAGGGGGCAGGCACATGCAACAAGCCCCACCCCCTGCTCCCAGCAGCCCTCAGTTGGACCACGAGGAGCAGGAAGCAGCCAGGTAAGTTGCATAGCCCCCCCGGCCCGCCTTCAGGTACAAGCTCTCCCTCCACTGTGAGTGAAGATCTGAGCGTCCCCCCCCCAATAGCTAGCAATTCAAAACAGTCCAGTGGCACCTTTAAGACCAAGTTTTATTCAGGTACAAGCTCTCCCTCCTCTGTGTGGGCATATCTGTACATCCCCCCCCCAATAACTAGCAATCCAAAAGAGTCCAGTGGAGCCTGAGCGGTGGGTGTTGCCTTCTGACACACTTCCAGTGATGTCAGGGGGTGTGGCATATGTGAATAGGTTATGCTAATGAGTTATGCTAATGAGCTCCTGCACATCTTTTTCTACGAAAAGACCCCTGATCACCCCTATAAATTTTCCCACAGAGAGAGTAACAAAATCATTTATATCCAAAAGTAACCACGTCACCTGTGCCCTCAGACTGTTAGAAGCCTCAGTGAGCATTTCCTTATTTCTAAGTAAGGGAGTAAGTAATCTAGTCCTCAGCTCACTAAATATAGGACATTCCATAATCATATCTTCAATTGCTTCAATTTGACATGTTCTATTTGAATATAGCACTTTTTTGTACCTAACCTCCAAAACCACCAATGGAAAGGCACTCATTCCTGCCAGAGTAAAAGCTCTTCTTAGCTTTGGTATTGTCTAATGATAAAAATATTTGGCAGGTGCATTGGGAAGGGTTAGGTTTAGGGTTAGCCAAATAAGATGCCAAACATACCCTACGAGCCCTGACAGATATACTATTAATATCCAGTTTCTTTACACACAGTTAAAGTTTTTTGGTGGCCTCACTTAACAGAATGAGCCACTGATTTCATTGTGCTTCTTTATTGTTTGTGTTTTATATTGTTCAGCAGATATTATTTAATATAATTATCTCGTATTTTATTAGCTTAATATGTTGGATGCATTTTGATCGCGGACTTTCTATGTACTGGCGGGTTAATAGGTCTACCACTTTTCTATCTTTGATTCTGTTTACAAAATTGCAACAAAAAAAAGAAGAGAGAGAGACAAGTGTCTTCTAGGAAACGAACACACCAAGTTGATTTTGGAATGTTCTCTGCTTCCCACTGATACCAGACAAAGACCTCAGGAGCAGGGTTCCCTCTAAGCTGAGTTAGCATGAGCTAGCTCACGGTTTTTTAGCCTCTGGCTCACTCAGTTTTGCCTTCGCTCAGGAAGGAGGGCTCCAGAGCAAACTTGATTTTTGATTCATGCAGTAGCCAAATCGCTCACTCACAACTTTAATGCCAGCAGCTCACAAAGTAGAATCTTTGCTCACAGGACTCCACAGCTTAGAGGAAGCATTGCTCAGGAGTGCACAAATTGTATACTGCAACAGACGAAATAAAAAAGAAAAAAGGTGTGGCAATTTATGTTAAGGAAATTTTACAACCTGAGTTAGTATTTAAATCTGAAGATGGTAGAATGATTATGATCCAGATATTTAGACAAAATAAATCTGTTTTGATTGCAAATATATATGCGCCGAACCAAAATTTAGAAAAGTTTTTTAAACAACTAAGAGAGATATTGGCGAGACAAAGTTGTGATGAAATGTGCATTGTAGGCGATTTTAATGCAGTGTATGATAGGATAATAGATAGAAAATATGCAGATGAAAAACAGAGGAGAGGAAATGAGTTACCTAGAGCCTTTTTACAGGCAATAGAAGAATTTAAATTGGTGGATGCATGGAGAACGCACAACATAGATAAAAAGGATTTTACTTATTACTCGAACAGGCACAGATCTTGGTCAAGGTTGGATATGATGTGGGTCTCAGTTGGAATGATAAATGATCTGAAAGAGATAGAAATTTTGCCCGCAACGTATGCGGATCACAATCCAATAGTTTGTACTCTAACAGATGTGGTGAAGAAAAAAAGATGGACTTTGAATACGTGGTTATTAAAAGATAAGAAATTTCTAGCAGAATCTAAAAAGGAATTTGGGATGTTTTTTAAAGAAAATATGACAGCAGAGGTACCCATAGAAATTATATGGGATACCTTCAAGGCTTATTCGAGAGGATGGTTTATAAGACAAAATGC